GATTCGTATTGTTTCCATAAAAGCTCCATCCATCCCCAACAGGGTCCTATTAGAGCTCCATCCATCCTTAACAGGATCTTATTAGAGTTCCATCCTTCTCTAACAGGGTCCTAGTCGAGCTCCATCCATCCCTACCAGGATCCAAATAGAGTTCCGTCCATCCCTAACAGGACCCGATTAGAGCCCCATCCATCCCTAACAGGATCCTGTGACAGCTCAATACATCCCGAACAGGATCCTATTATAGCTCCATCCAATTCCAAACAGGATCCGAGCTCCATCCATCCCTGACAGGACCCTATTAAAGTTCATTCCATCCCTAATCGGATACTAGTAGAACTCCATCCATCCCTGACAGGATCCTGTTAGAGCTCCACCCATCCCTAACAGGATCCTATCAGAGGTTTATCCATCCCGAACAGGATCACATAAGAGATCCATCCGCTCCGAACAGGACCACCTCGAGTTCCATCCATCTTTAATAGGATGCTATTCGGGCTCCATCCATCCCTAACAGGATCCCGTTAGAGGAGGCAGCCAGAGGCGTTGCTTCGCCAGCGCGTGATCGTTTGGCGAAAGCAGGGCCGAGTTGACCCCTATATGAGTCCCAGTGGATTTTGTGGTTAGTTGTTTCTATGAGTGCTGGATGCTGGCTGGTGGCTACTGCCCCCCCCCCGTGGGTGGGAGGGGCACACATAGGCGTTGATGCCTTGTTGTTGTTGTTGTTGTTGTTGTTGTTGTCGTTGTCGTTGTCGATGTTGTTGTTGTTGCTGTTGCCGCAGCTGCTTTAGTAGTAGTAGTAGTAGTAGTAGTAGTAGTAGTAGTAGTAGTAGTAATAGTAGTAGTAGTAGTAGTAGTAGTAGTAGTAGTAGTAGTAGTAGTAGTAGTTGTTGTTGCTGTTGTTGCTGTTGTTGCTGTTCTTGTTGTTGTTGTTGTTGTTGTTGTTGTTGTTCTCGTTGCTGTTGTTGCTGTTGTTGTTGTCGCTTCTGTTGTTGTTGCTGTTGTTGTTGTGGTTGTTGTTGTTGTTGTTGCTGGTGTTGGTCCCCGGGTTTACAGCAACAGCTCCCGCCGGATATTTCCCCACAGTTGATTCCCAAATCGCGTTCTCGCGCGGGACTTCTTCACAATGTATGCAGGAATCGCGCTCACGCGTGAGACTTTTCAAAATTCATTCAAACGCCGCGCCCTCGACATTCAGGAATCACGCTCTCGCTGTGGATTTCCTCACGATTTATTTGGGAATCGCGCTGTCGCTCGAGACTTCCTCGCAGGACGCACTCTCCAGCAACCCGCCCGCCCCTTGTCCCTTCCTTCCATCTGTCCTCTCTTCCCATGCCGAGGGGCTGCACGAAGTATACTTTGCAGGTAAGACAGTCATACCCCTAAGGTGGTACAGTCGAAAACGAAGAAGGCGGGTATCGAGGGTTTGGGATATACGTGCTGACTGGCACGTGAGCAGGTAAGAGCGAACCGTCTTAAACTGATTGTTCTGTTGTTGTTATTGTTGCTGTTGAGTTCTCATTTGTGAAGACTCATTATTGTTGATCCCCCCCGTCCGGTGCACATTGTTTTTTCGATTGAAGTGGCCTTCCCGGGGCTCGCACCCTGTTTTTGATCAGGGAAAATCTTGAGCGTCAAACTGTGTCGTTGGCCCCCGGTTTACAACAAGAACGGCTCCCGCTTGAGACTTCCTCACAATTTAGCCAGGACCCCCGCTCCCGCCCGAGACTTCCTCGCGTTTTATTCAGGAATCGCGCGCTCGCTTGGGACTTCCCTAGAATTTATTATCCCAGCGCTCTGGAGTCGGGCTCTCGCTGGAGATATGCTTGCAATTTGCTGAAGACAGCGCCCTTGCGATGGAATTTCTCGCAATTTACTCGAGCGCGGCGCTCCCGACACCCAGGCACCCAGGAGTCGCGCTCACGCTTAGGACTCCCTCACAGATTACATAAGAATCGGCATCTCGCTGCCCTTCGCGGCCCCGTTGTAGCCCTTCGTGGCCCCCTCGCTTTGTTTCGTGGCCCCCTTGCAGCCCTTCGTGGCCCCCTCGCTGCCCTTCGTGGCCCCGTTGCAGCCCCTCGTGGCCTCCTCGCTGCCCTTCGTGGCCCCGTTGCAGTCCTTCGTGGCCCCCTCGCTTTGTTTCGTGGCCCCGTTGCAGCCCTTCGTGGCCCCCTGCGCTTCGTGGCCCCGTCGCAGCCCTTCGTGGCCCCGTTGCAGCCCTTCGTGGCCCCCTCGCTGCCCTTCGTGGCCCCGTTGCATCCCTTCGTGGCCCCCTCGCTGCCCTTCGTGGCCCCATATATGTATGCCCTTCGTGGCCCCCGCTCGTTCGCGCCCGTGGTGGCCCCATATGCATATGTCCTACGTGGCCCAGTTGCTACCCTCAGTGGCCCCATCGCTGCCTTCTGTGGCCCCGCATTATCTGCCCTTCGTGGCCCCCGCTCGTTCGCGCTCTTCGTGGCCCCATACGCATTCCCTTCGTGTCCCCGCTGTTGCCCTTCGTGGCCTACTTCGTGTCCTTGTGGCCCTGCTGTCGTTCTCTTTCGCTCTCGCTTTCGCTCGTCGTCGACGTCGTCGTCGTCGCCGTCGTCGACGTCGTCGTCGTCGACGTCGTCGTCGTCGTCGTCGTCGTCGTGGTCGGTCCCCTGTCCGTCCCTCTTGGGGTCGGGTCGACGGTCCGCGGCCGCCCCGCCGATCAGCGCTGCCGCTGGCCAGGCCGACGGTCCGCGGCCGCCCCGCCGCTTGCCGGGGCCCAGCCTGCAGGGAAGAAAGGTATACCCCCCAAAAGGGGTTCGATCGAAAACGAAGAGGGCGGGTATCGAGGGTTTGGGAAATAGGCGTTATTGGACACTCGAGCAGACAAGGGCGAACAGTCTTAAAATGATTGTTGTTGTTGTTGCTGTTGTTATTGAGTTCTCATTTTTGAAAAAACAGTTATTGTTGATCCCCCCCACTGGTGCACATTGTGTTTTTCAATTGAAGTGCACCCCTCGGGGCTCGCACCGTGTTTCTTACAAGGGAAAGTCTTCGTGCTCAAACTGTGCCCCTGGCCCCCGGTTTACAACAACAGCGGCTCCCGCTTGATATTTCCTCATTTGTTTCGCAAATCGCGCCCTCGCGCGGGACTTCTTCACAATATATGTAGAAATTGCGCTCTCGCGTGGAATTTCCTCGCAATCTATTCAAACGCCGCGCCCTTGACACTCAGGAATCACGCTCTCGCTGTGGCTTTTCAAATGATTCATTAGGCAATCGCGCTGTCGCTCGAGACAAACTTTCGATTCATGCAGAACTCACGTTTCAGCAACCCGCCTGCTCGACCTGGCCGCCTGGGCCCGCCTTCCCGACTCGCCCGCTAGGGTCTGCCGGCCCAACCTGCCCGTCTAGTTCTACCACGTGTTTTCTGCTCCTAGCCCCCCTCCTGTTAATTTCTCTCGTGCTCCATCCTTCTCCCTTCTCTTCGCCTGTTTGAAGGGGCTGCGCTAAAATCACGTGGCAGGTAAGAAAGATATACCCCCAAGTGGGCACGATCGAAGACGAAGATGGCGGGTACCGAGCGTTTGGGATATACGTGTTGACTGGCACGCTAGCCGATAGGAGCGAACAGTCATAAACTGATTGATGTTGTTGTTGTTGTTGTTGTTGTTGTTGTTGTTGATGGTGATGATGACGATGTTGATGCTGATGCTGCTGATGATGCTGCTGCTGATGATGATGACGATGATGATGATGGCTGTTGCTGCTGCTGATGATGATGCTGACGATGACGATGACGATGACGATGACGATGATGATGATGATGATGATGATGATGATGATGATGATGATGATGATGATGATGATGATGATGATGATGATGATGATGATGATAATGAGGAGGAGGAGGAGGAGGAGGAGGAGGAGGATGAGGATGATACACCGTCTTGGAATGCTTTTGGTCCTCATCGGGCCTCTGGAGACCTCTGGAGACCCCTGGTGGTCCTCAATGCGGTGTGTCCTGGCAACTTCTACTCTGAACTCAAAGAACAATTAGCACAATCACTGGCGCGCTCGAGGGCGGCTCGCGAGGCCTGCCAAAAAGGCAAGCAGCAAGCGTCAGAAGCCGTGAGAGCATGGCGAGAGGTGGTTTTCACGCGCGTGTGCTCCCCAGCGGCAGCATCCCGGCCCGAGAGCCGCCTCGAGAGGCGTGCGGCGCAGCCTGCTGCACCGCCTTGCGGCAGAGAGGAAGCAGCATGCATTTGCTGGACGTCGCGCGGCCCGCTCAGCTTCGACCGGAAGAGGTGCGCTCTCGACCCGCGGATCAAAAACATGTATTTGCTGGACTGTGGCTGGCTGGCGTGAATATGAGCTCGACCGCTTCATCTCATGTCGGCGGAGTGTTGGGTACCAGGTCCTCCTCTGGGCTGAGAAAGGGCAGCGGCATTACCGCGCGCTCTTGCGGCCAAAGCACGCGGGCAAAGGGTCCCGAGCCCTCCCCGTCCCACCCTCTCTAAGGGCTTGGCGTCTCTTCTCCAATCGACTAGCAGGGATCGGGCTGGACAAATCTTGGCACATCTACGTAAGGCGATGTAAGTCCAGTTTTCAGTTTTGCCGTTAGTCTGCTCAGTGTGGAGTTGCCTGGACACCGATTTGGGGGACGACTGACTGGATTTGGGCTTCACCGATCATCACTCTTCGTTACCCTTGGCCAGCTGGACAAAGGTAAGGCGGTGTAAGTCCAGATGCAGTCAACCCGCATAGAAAGGATGGGCAACCTTCCCAAGGCTATCCTTGCATCCTTGCCCCTTCGGCCCATCCTCAGCGATTTTCGCTGGCCAACCTCGGTCGAAAAACGTGAACCATGGACCTCCAATGCCCTTGCATCCTTACCGCGCATCTTTATGATACAAGTTGACTGTAGGTCGACGCAGTTCTACATATGTCCAGACAAGTCTGCAGCACGTCGTGGAAGTCCCATCGCGAGCCGAGGGGCAGCCAGGGGTCGTCAAGCCCTCCGCGGCGCC